CAAAGGCTGACGCTTTGCCTGGTCTGGCGCCCCCCAACACCCCAACAAAAAAAAGGTGCTCTCTCTGACTGAGTCGCCCGACAATTTCGCCCTGCGCGGCTCGGCCTGGTTGCCGCACGTCGAGCGTGTGCGTGCCTGGCAGCCGGCTAGCCAACATCAACAAGACAGCAAGAAGAGCGCGGCGGCTGCGAAAGGCAAAGGAGGCAAGCAGGTCAAGGCAAAGAAGGAGCTTTAAGGCTGCGCGCCGCCCGCCGGACGTTGTGAAAGTAGCCTCGAGAGGTGCACAAGTACCCCTGCCCCCGGCTTCATGCTTCTTCTTCGCCCCGATGATCTTGCGCAACCCTCTCTCACCAACTCTCTCTCACCCCCCCCCCCCCTTTTTCCCCCGCTCGAGCCCGCGCCTGCCGCTTCTCTCTAATCATACAGACCAGTGACTTCTAGTCATGATGGCATTGACGACAGTGTGGGCCTCACACGCAGCGTGAAGGAGAAGAGGGGCCGAACAGCCGAAGGAGATGACGATGCAGAGTCGTTCTCGTGAGAGGCATGGAAAGCGCCAACGCAGAAAGAGAGAGAGAGAGCGACAGCTCGCAAATGAGATTTGGCGATTCGCGTCCTGTTGCTTGAGGGAAGGGAGAAGAATGGGGGGCGGCATCGCCCGGCGCTCGGTTTTTTTTACTTGTCCTTTCCCTCCTCAAACACGGCCGTCTCAATGTCGAAGCCCGCATACAGCTTGAGTCTTTCTGCCAGGCGTTCGCCTCCGATCGTGGCGCTCGTGAGCACGCCTCCCTGCCTTGCCCACTGCGGCATTTCCTCGCGCTCCTGCGAGAGGAGCAGGCCGACTTCGGCAATCATGCGCGCCGTCACTAGATAGCCTGCGCGCGCCAGCCACCGAGAAGGGGGCAAAGAAGAGTTCAGCAAGGGGAGATCGGGCACGGGTAACGCGAGAGAGAGAGAGCTAATACGCACCAGGATTGCCTTTGAAGGACAAGTTGCAGATGCTGGCCTGGTCGCCGCAGCGTGCCACGGCTCGCAGATCCATCCATCCCCTGTTTTGCGACGCGAACACTCCTCCAGTCAGAGCTGTGCGGGCGCAGTAGGGCGCAGAGAGAGAGAGAGAGAGAGAGAGAGAGAGAGAGAGAGAGAGAGAGAGAGGAGAGAGAGAACTCACTTGTCAGAAGGACCCGCGCCCTCTTTGAGCAGACGCTTCATGATCCAGCGCACCTGGCGACGGTCCTCATTTCAGCTTTTTGCCTGCGCTTGCTTTCCTTCGTGACTCTTTCCCGCCAAACGACTCACAGGCGGCAGATAAAGCAGGGCAAGCACGCTGCTATACGCCACCCAGCTGGCAATCCAAGTCTTGAGCCATCCGCCAAACGCAATGCCGTCGCGATAGACGTAGTTCTTGCCGAAGCGCTTCTCCGTTGCTTCGGGCGCGCGCTCCAGGATGTCCCACGTTTGGTACGCCACACGCACGTTGTGCGGCGACATGGGAAAGTTGCCGCAGTAGACGCCGGCGCCGAATTGCGGCGCGGCAATGGCGGGACTGAAGGAGAGGTTGTCGACACCGGTCTCTTTGCGCGGGAAAGGGGGGG